GCTATGAATCTATTCAACTTAGGTTAGATTTATCTGGATGTAAAGAGCTCCCGTATTTATTATCGTAATCTGTCAATATTAAAAGTTAAGGTTATAAAATTCTGACAACAATATAACAATTAATAGTTCCACGTATCTTAATTTATCATATAATTTAATTTTTAATTTCAGCCCGAAGGCGCTTTTCCAAACCATGAGGCTTCCTGAGAACCTCGTAGGAGGGCGATGAAGATTCAGAAACCTCAAAAATTGTGTTGCCCACATCAGAATCTCTTTCATAAAAATGAATGGATATAGGCGCACTTAACGCCTTCCTGAAGAAGGAACGTGAGAAGTTTAGTAGTTTGCAGGAAAGTGTAGTTTAGCAAAATGTACAGTAGATTTGTTGAGTCTGTAGTAGAATATAGAGTAGTTCTTTTGAATCTGTAGCAGAATTAGAGTAATTCGTTTGAATTCGTAATAGAATGTAGAGTAGTCCTGTCAAATGAATTTGTAATAGAATGTAGAGTAGTCCTGCCAAATGAATTTGTAATAGAATGTAGAGTAGTCCTGCCAAATGAATTTGTAGTAGAGTGTAAAGCAATTGAAGTTGTCTACTCTTTTGTATGATGTAATTTTGGGAAGCTTTTAAAGGCTTCTTGCTCTGAAAAAATAATAAAATTATGAGGCTATCCTTTAATATTGACTTGCATTTTATTTACTTTTTAGATGAATCAAAATTAAGTGTCGTTATACTTATTTTATTCCTTTTCTACATTTTTTGCATTTAGTTATAAATCCAATCGAAACCTATTTTATAGAAGTGGGACGAAATATTTTTTGAATTAGAATCCTAAATGTTTGTTGAAACTCTCTACTCTTTCAAAACATTGAAGCCTCGAATCTTTCTAACAAGAAGGAAGTGGGGGACTTTTACTAAATATTATTTAATAGTAAAATTTTATATATACAATGGCAAATAGCTGAAGAATGCATATTTTAAAGTACACTTCTATATTAAGAAGACGCCAATGAAATTTAGTAAATGCTTAAGTTTTGAATCATGAAGTCATCTTACTATCATTTGTCAAAAATTATTTAGCTAATTGTTCATATTTTTTGCGTTTTTCATATCTTTAAAACTCAAAGCAGGTACACAGAAAAGAAATATTTCAGGAATTAACATGGATGAAGATTAAACACGAAACACTAGTTTCTCTTTAGAAAATTAAGAATGTCGCACACAGGGCTGGCACGATGTGATATTGATGGTTGAGATCCACTGAAATATGGGTCCATACGACAGCATGGACGAACGCCAAAATGCGTATTCAGCCCGGGATTTTCTTCATCCGCAATTTTCATTTCCTTAACTTCCATCTAAATCTTTTTATGCGATTTAAAATTTTAAAATGTCAGTTCAAAAATGATGTCTGAAGAATAGCATTGTTTCTGCATCCTTGTATAAAATACCCTTAATGTTTGAGCTCACAGGTTATCATTAAAGGGCAACTTAAAAACCTGGTTCGACAGTTTCGATGATGGTCTGACACAAGTCCCTCTTATTCAGGAGTAAAAAAAAAAAAATAATGTGTTTCCCTCTCCACTCAGCTTTTAAATTTATTAGAAATATACAGGTATTTGCTTAGAATTTCTTCAGAAATTTCTATAAACAAATTCTTAGTGGTCCTTTCAGCACAAAAATAAACAAAAGGAAATAAAGGATATTTTCGGAAACAGAAATCATTGATGATATGGGGCAAATGGAAGGGGAAGAGAAAGAAAACTATTTTAGTAAGTATATTTAAAATAATGAGAAGAATATAAGAATAAAAAATTTACTTTATTAATGTAAGTGAAATAAATAATAAGAGTAATTTAAGCAATCTAATTTCAGAAGCAGAAACAAATTTTCTTTTTCAGTTTTAGCATGAGGTTTACTTAACGAATCCTAACTGAAGCAACAGTAGAGCCATCTAGTAGTTACATCTAAAAGTAGAACATTTCCCATCGTAAAATTTACTTAATAAACCTAAAGAAAAAGGTTTAGGTAGGTAATAAAACTGAATTATACTAATAAATTCAATTCTCACGATTCAAGTAAACAAAAATTGAGGAAATAAATTCCTTTTGACAGTGTTATGGTTCAAAAGTATTATCCGACGAACCATCAACTGAACAGTAGCGATGCCATCTACCGGCAATATTTTGAACTAAACAACGGTTTAATTTATAACCAAAGTAAAGTTTAATTTATGAAGAAAGAAGAAAAATGTCAATTCGTCAATAAAATTTTAACACATTATTAAAATTTACGTAGTTCAGTAAAATTCAGGTTTCAGAAGTTTCTCTGGCGTTTAGGAATATTAACTTATCAAACGAATTATGAATGTTATCGTCACGAAACTGCTACTAGTGCCATCTACTGACTAAATTCTGAAACTAAAATGTTTTCCATTCTAAAGTTTAATTTATTTTATTGGTAATGGTAAAAGAAAGACAATAAAATTTCAAACAATACAATTTATAGTGAAAATATTGACATAATAATAAAATGCACAGAATCTACTACAACTTTAACATTTTACTACGTTAAGAGTTATACAAAGCAGTTTACAACAACAGTACTGCATCTCAAAAGCGCCTAAGCCTACGAAAACTTAAAAAAAAAAAAATATATATATATATATATATATATATGTATATATTCAAGATTAAAAAAACTTAATTTTAGGTTAAAATATAAAAGTAACAACTGAAAAGTTTGAAAATGTTTTGACTCGAGATGCCCTTATAGGAACCTCTTTAAAATATTCGCTTAGTTGCGGTACGCTGCCATGCGTTTTCAATGTAGTTTAATAACTTGATTACGTGGGAAGCGAAATTTTTGACATTTAACGAAAATTTCTCAGCGTAGGATTTATGTTTTCATTTTGGAGAAACTTTCACAGGGTGGTATTCACAGAAATGATTTCGGGAAAATTTCATGACAAAGGGAACTATGTATTGACGTTTGGGAAAAAAAGAAGAGAGAAAGAGAAGAAGAAAAAAGAGGAGAGGAAAGCAAGAATAGAAAAAAGTATTAAAAAATTCAGATTTTAACGGTCGCCAGAAGGGCTGTTTTAAAGTTCAATATGGTTTATCATTAAAGATTATCAATTGAGGTGGCCCAGATGGAATAGCGAAGAGCGAAATTATAGGATACTTTATAAATATACATTTAAACTAACAGGGGAAAGTAATATATCTTAATGTGTATTTCAAACGTGATAAAAATATGTAACGGAATTCTGTAAAAATATTTAATTTTTAATTAGATATATCACGAGATAATTTTTATTTATATCACATTTTTGCTTATGTCAATCCGTTTAAAAGGTAAAATAAATAAATACAATTTAATTTTTTTTTTAATCCGAAAGGTTTCAGATTGTAAATTACGTCCGAAGGGGCGTTTTCTTATGTGTTATTTTTATTTATTAAATATCATGTTCTTCACACTTAAACCATAAAATTTAATTCAACTGCAATATTGCAAAATAATTTTTAAATCAGCATATCTTTAGAATTTCTGATACACAGTCTCGTCCGCTGGAGATAAAATTCCCCCCACCCCCGTACAGGTGTTGACATTGCTCACTTTGAAATCGTCGAGTTTTTTAATAAAACATTCGTTAAAAGTTTTACAAAACATGAAATAGATAATAAACAAATTCCAAATTGGGGCTTCCAGATGCCCATAGTTGGGTGGAAGCGTACGCTATTCAAAATTTCATGGCTCTAGGTACCGTCGTTTTATCCCAGTGAGAGAAACATATATACATTTATGCAGATTCTTCATTAAGTAATTTCTTTAAATATAATGCAGAGCGATAACATTTGGTGGCAACAATTTTAAATAACGCATTTACAATGAACGGCATTTAAAGTGAATCAATATAAAATCGTGTAATAAGCCTTTAGGGCTGTAATAAATGATATTTTTGAAATTATGCATTACGTACTTGTTATAGATTCATTTTTAAGTAACTCTTAAAATATTTATACATTATATGTAGCCTCAATTTACTAAACTGGACTTAGTTTCCATGTTAAACTGCGGGGCGATTTATCATCCCGTCTTAACAGAACAACTACAAATTCAGATGAAAATTTAAATACATTTATATCAAAGCTTTAAATAAAACATGTGCGCAGCTCGTTCTTACAGAACGATGTTCGCTGCCTGAAAAATTTCAGATGATAGAAAATGTAAAGTAAAATTTAAAGTAATTTAACGCTGAAAATTCATAAGGCAAATCTGAACATGTTTTGCCTCAGACTTTACTAAATATTGGAGCAAACTCGACTATCAAAAGGCTAACGCCGGTATAAAGTAGTTGCCAGAGCCAGGCGAGGAAATATCACGAAGGTCAGCATTGCAACTGCATCCTAGTGGGAGATGACGAAAGTAGAATTGATAGTACGACTAATATAATAAGCTGATGAGTTAATTAATGTAAATTTTCAGTCATTTGAGTATGAAGTATAAAAAAAAAAGGTACAATATGTATATGATGTGATTTTGATTCACATGTACATATATACTATTTGCGCGTTTACTTTCTGTGTATCTTGTAGTTTGTACTTTTCATTTTGTTTGTTACTTTTTATCCGAATAATTTGTTAATTAAAATACATAAACTTGTTTTTTTGATGACCATTTTTATTTATTTATTTATTTATTTTGTTCGAGATACATTTCTCGTATAGCATGGGTTTAATTCTTGCCTTATCTCTCATATTAAAACGAAAAAACATTGATATGCTACTAAAAAATACTTTTTTCGCATTCAGGTGTCTTAAAACAATAGATAAATCCTTTCAAGTGTATAAAATTTTAATTGTTACTGTGAGACTTTTTAATACAAACTGTTGCTGTTATAAATAGTGAATGTGCATGATGAAATATTATAACATTAAGAAACTCACATATAACGTATAGAAAGCGATTAAGTTATTCTATTTGTTTCTTTTCGAAGCAACCATACATTTCGAACTCATCACTGAGAGCAACCCCAGTGAGAAAGAAGTGCAAGATCCATGCACACTTCCAGTACAGACCGGTCAATGCAGAGCTGCAATGCCCAGATTTTACTTCAATGGCGAAAAATGCGAGAACTTCATCTACGGAGGATGTGACGGAAATGCCAACAATTTTAGAACATTAGACGACTGTGAGAAAACATGTGCTCCTAGTTTCTCAGAACAAAGTAAGCATGATTCATCCACCACGTGATTCCCACTTTAAGTACTCAGAAATACAAAATAAAATGTGTTGTATATGCATTATTTTTTTTAGAAACCTAAAATTCTTTTACTTATTATTCTTCAGCCTTTTAAGTTTTTGAGGGAAATCGACTTACAGGAAAGTGGTAATGTCCATAACATAGTAAAATGTTTCAAATATTTCTTTTTTAAGCTTATATACCCTAAATACTGTTTTCCGACTGTTAGATATGGTACTTACATTTCGTCTGTTAGATATGGCAGCACGTAGAACATATGACAATAATCGCTTATCTCAGATGTATATCTGCGTCAAGGAAATTTGAAAAGTGTCGTTGTTGAGAATAAAAGCTGTTTGGGCTCGCTGCATGAATGCTTTCCCGAAATTTCCAGTGATTAATGTAAATACTAACTTCTATCAAAGAAGAAGAAGTAGGTATCTCTTTCCTTAGTGCCTACCAGTGGCCTTAGCGGTTAAAAATTGCTGCAATTTCTCGTAAGTTCTAATCCGAGCAGAACGGCCTGGCTGTATGGTCGGTTTTCGCCATTTTGCCCACGTGTAAGATTATTTCAAGCCAGTTTCTCTTACAAAGTCAACTACAATAGCTGAATTTCTTCTGCATATTTTTGATACGAACAAGTATCATCTAAACTTGATTTATTCATGCTGCACGTCGGGAAGTGCGTCAAATCTTCATTTTTAAGTTGTTTTTCCCAAAGAACTAGTTGACATTTGAATGCTTTAATTATGTCAAACATGTTCGTAATGATATGATCTTTTCCTTGTAACGATAAATTTAAATCGGTTAAGTGTTTGGTTATATCAACCAAGAAAGATAAATCTTGTATCCATATTGGATCGTAAAACAAACTTACGTCTTGATTTTTCGTTTTTAAAAACTGACATATTTCTTCTTTCAAATCCCAGAATTGTTTGAGAATCTTGGAGCAAGATAACCAACGTACCTCGGTATAGTAGGACAAACCCGAATATTCACTATCTAACTCACTTAAGAAAGCAGTGAATTGACGCTGATTTAAACCTCGAGATCTTATAAAATTTATAACTTTTTTATATATGACAAAACATTCTCCATATTTATTACTTTCGTGCATAGAACTTCTTGATGTATAATACAATGCATATGATGAATGTTTGAACCGTGAATTTCACTAAGTTTTTTTCTTAGTAATGCTACGAAGCCCTTGTTTTTCCCGGTCATTGATGGAGCGCCATCTGTAGCTACAGAATTTAATTTTGCCAAAGGTAGATTGTATTTCTGCAGAAGTCCAAAAAACACAAGTAAATATATCTTCTCCTGTAGGTAGTACCAGGCATCGGTATTAGTTCCAGTAATTCCTCAAAAAATGTTAAAATTCTTGTCACAAGAACGAAGAAACACTGCTAATTGAGCTTTGCCACTAATGTCCGTGCTCTCGTCACAGGCAATGGAGAAACTTTCGAAACTAGATGATTTTGCTTTGATCTGATCACTTAAATTCACGGCTAAAAATCAGTAACTCTTTCCGCAACTGTATTTCGAGACAATGAAATTGATTGAAAAGCCTTCACATTTCCAGGACAAACAATTTTTCCAGCTTTCATTAGGCATTCCTTGATGAAATCACCGTCAGTAAAAGGCTTCGAATGTTTAGCTATCAACTCGGACAAGACGTAGCTTGCATGTACCGCCGCTTCACTTTCTTGCGCAATACTTTACTAAACATGGACTGTTGCTTTTTCACTCCTAACTTGAGCTCTTTCAACTTTTCTTCTCTCATTAATCCTTCGTAATTGTTATATTTCGATTTGTGTTGTTCGTAATGACGTTTAATATTATATAACTTTGGTACATTAATAGTATTATTACGTATCAAGCAGATTATTTTATCTTTTATTTCACAGCAAAAAATATTCTAATTCCCATTTTACTTGGAATATTCTATGTTCGTCAGCGATTTTTCGTTTAATTTTACTACCACTTGGTTTTGATATAGACATACTGAATACAAAGGGCTGGAATAAACACGGTTAACGTTAAAAAGTTAACAAAAATTTATTCTTTCCACAAGAGATAAATCAAAATGCTGAAATATTTCTTCAAAAATATTCTAACAATATCACAAAATGTCAAAACGTTTAGCAAAAATCAATTCAAAAACAGAGAAAAACTAATTCTATCTCACAGCGAAATCGCTACAAATCAATCACAGCATTAAGTAAACAAAACAGTTCGCTAGAACTACAGCTACTACTGAGATGAGTTGTTTGTTCTCGGCTTTTATAAGCTTTATAATTAATTTCTCGAATATACTGGAAACATCTATAAATATCTGGATTTTGTGGATGGCAACAGCAATTACGAGATATTTATTTATTAGGTTATAAATGCACGCGCTGTTCTATTTTTAACCTTCCAACGCAGCTGTCTTTTCAAAAATTGTCTGAGTTGAACATGAAGCAAATCTAAGGCAACATGAAGCAAATCTAATTACAATTCTAAATAAAAAAAAAACTAAATAAATAAATAACTATGAAATCCGTAAACAATATGAATTAAGTAATAATTAATAATAAAGCAAAGTGCATGCACATGTATGCACCAACATGTATGCACCAATAGTATATCGTACAAAACTATGATTGGAAAACTGAGACCATGAGTTCGGCCACATTCGGCTATCGGGGGATGCGTACAAGTTCTGAGTGCACGTGTCCCCCAAAAGCCGAAGGTAGCTGAACGCAAGCTACTCACACGCATTTGTAATTTAAGTAGTGTGTGTGTCAGCTCGCTGTGAGTAATCTAACAACACTGAATAAATTATCGTTAATTACTTAGCAGTAAACATTTCATTTTTTTCTTCATCGATATGTTATTTTATTATTATATATTATTATTTGCCGATATATTGGCCGGACCCCAAAAATATTTGTTGTGGGCCGCATGCGGCCGCGGGCAGCGAGTTTGACATCCTTGGACTAGAGTGTAAGAGAGTGATATATAAGGAATACAGGCAAAGAAGTAAAATTGTTCGCAGGCGCTTTATAAGCATTTCAGTGCAATAACCGAATAGTTATGACACAAAGGACCGCATTGGATTATTTTTACGTGGTAGAATTATCGGCCGTCTGGAATGTGGGCGCACCCAACTGGAAGTATCAGACGAACTTGGAATTGCCCAGAGTGTCATCTCCAGGCTTTGGCAACGATTCCAAGATGATGGTAACGTGAGTAGACGTTACAGCACAGATCGCCCCAGAGTTGCAACGCCGAATGAGGACAGGTATTTGGCAGTTACTGCCAAAAGTAACAGGCGGAGACAGACTTTTCTCGTCATCTCTCTTCAGCCATTCGTACGACAATTTCAAGGCAGACCGTGTACAGACGCTTAGGGCAGATTGGTCTATATGCTCGTAGACCTGTCAGATGCGTTCCACTTACTGCAACTCACTGTCGCCTGCGGTTAGCCTGGAGTAGAGAGCATGCATTGTGGACACCGCAACAGTGGTCTTGTGTGATGCTTTCCGACGAGTCCAGGTTTAGCTTGCAGTCTGATTCTCGCCGGACTTTCATATGGAGAGCACCAGGTACACGTTACTACCAAGAAAACATCATTGAACGATACCGTTACGGTGGTGCAGAAGTGCTCGTTTGGGGTGGAATTATTCTGGGTTCCAGAACTGACCTGCATGTTCAAATTGGAACCATGACGAGCCAAATCTATCGGGACGTCATTCTGGAACAACATGTACGTTTGTTTCGGGGCGCCAATGGGCACACATTTGTGTTTATGAGATGACAACGCCCGTCCCCACCGTGCAAAATCGTAAGCGAATGCCTTCAATCGGAGGATATCACCCGTATGGACTGGCCAGCATTCTCACAGGACTTGAATCCAGTAGAAGCACATGTGGGACATGCTTGGCCGACGAGTTGCAGCCCTTCAACCTCCTTCTACATGTCTACCGGAAACTTCGGAGAGAGGCATTGCTTTTTGAGTGATGTAATATTCCCCCAAGATCAGATCGATAATTTGATACTCAGCATGCCTAGGCGTTGTACGGACTGTATTGCATCGTCTGGGAGACAGACAATGTATTAACAATCATAACCAACCATGTAATATTGTTTTTTTTTTTTTTTTTTTTTTTTTTTGCTCCAGGGAGAAAAAAAATCGCTAATTTTTTTAATAATATCAAACATATAGCATCTTTTTTGCTCTTTACCTTTTGTTTAATAAATAAGCTTTACAAATAAGTCAAATTTGTTTTGCTTCTAACTCTTTCCTTTGCCTGATTTTGCATTATCCTTATTTATGGACTGGAATATAATAATAGAGGAGGGAGAGAGGGAGGAGGGGGAGAGGAGAGATGTAATATAATTAACTGCCAGTTTAATTACATAAGGATTAAGATACTTATTTACAAAGCAACAGTCAGGTTATCCTTCATGTCAGAGAGTATGCTCAAAACGTCCGTGCAGTCGCAATGCTCCGGAACATACTGAAGATATGAGAATTTTGATTCTCAGATATCCTGAGGATTTCGTCCTTTAACATCTTCAGTATGTCTGACTTAAGTCGCTACGTTTCCAGGATATGCAAAAATGTCCTGAGTAAGATGCTGATTGTCAAATGTCTTGGAGGCTTTGTCATTTAGCATCCTGGCCCACCAGAGGCCGAGCGGTAATGTCGCTGAACACTGGTAGTTCGGTCCGAGGTTCGAATCCCGCGAACGGGCTGGCTGCATGGGTGTTTTCGTAGTTTTCCCCATGTGTAACGTGTATACGAGCCAGTTTCCCTTAAAAAAAGTCCTCCACGAAGGCATCCCTCCTATAAGGCAGATAGCCCTCGAGTGCTTTGCCATAATCTAATAAACCAACCAAACCATTTAGCATCCTGAAGACATCCGTACTGCAGTTTCAGTGAATTTCCGTTGTCCGTCTTCTAGGTATTTTGATTTTTGAAGTTAGTCAATGATGTCTTGAGAATATAATGACATGTCATCACTCGGAGGGGGATATTAAGGTATATTCCGAGGTGTCCTGAAGATATGGTAAAAAGGACTTTCTTCTCTCAAGGAGGATAGTTTGGAGATATATATGAATGCAATGTTAATCCATAAGAGTTTTTATCCTATGTGGTATATAATGTATGTGCTAAACCTTTATTACTAAGAAAATAATAGCTGTATTTTTTAACTTTGATTTGACCTTTATTATTAATCTAGAATTTATGTTTTATTTTTTTTTTTTATTTTTTTTTTTTCCTTAAAAGGCAGCTACTGAAATGTCAGGTTTAATAGATTTCGACAGCAACATTTTTCTTCCTTAAATGAATTACTGCTATACATTTTATTTCACTAGTACGATGATGCTTGTTAAGGAAAGGGTTTATTTGTGTGTGAAGGTAATTAATATAGCCTTGTCTTTTAAAACAGTGAAATATAGCTGCTAAATGTATTAATTGATAGCCAGCTTAACTATTTTTATATATATGCAATATTTTTATTTGTTACACTTAACACTCAGCTACATTTGAAAAAGAAGAGAAAAGAACAAATTGTATAAATATTGTTTTATCTTGTTCATAGGAATTTTATGTCGAAAACATTAACGTTTTGGAGGGGGCTGTCGTTTTATAACTCTAGGTGCTTCTAGAATTATTAATAAATAACGTTTCGGAACCAATAAGCTTTTCTTGGCATCAACAATGTAACAAAAACGGTTTGTTTTTGCCATGAAAAAGCTTATAACCCCATGTCTTATGTTTATTTATTTATTTTTTGTTAATTTACTTATTTTTATTTCATAGATTAAAAAAAAACATTCAACAGTCTGTAAGATTGTGTATAGACAATCTATCTAGCCTTAGCTCCAAATTATCTGTGTCAGTCATATGTATTAAAAATGTTTAAATATGTACTATTATGCTTATAAAGAACCCATTTAAGAAAATCCTTATTATACCAACCCTTTTTTTTTTCTCTTTCCCCTTTAGGTGGTGAACAACCCATCCAATAAATGCAAGTCTACGATCATTATATCCTAAAACAGAAACGTTTGTGTTGTTTAGAAGTTATTGTTTTGTTTACAAATATTTATTGCAATAATTCAGTCATAAAACTTTAATTTTTTTGTTCTTTAAATAAAAACGTTTTGTTCTTTTCCTTGGTGGTTTCTTTATTAATATTATAATGTTAAGTACATTAAACAAAGAGCAGTGTGACGTGTATTGCTCTTTGAATAATTCTCATGTACAATAAACCCTTACTGAACGCGGATTTGCGTAACGTGATTTCGCATTTATGTGCATTATCTTAAGTTGTTTCCATTTAATTTGGCCAATGATAGATTCTCATTCATCAACACTAAATGTTTGCTAGCATCAATTGTGATCATAAATTATTAAAAATATTTAAGGACTTTCATTGATTAAAAATAAAGCTAAAGAAATAGTATAGATTGCAAAATCAATTAGCGACGAAGAATTTTCAAACATGAGATAAGCCAAAAAGTTAATCGAGAAATGATGAATGAAGAAATGGATGATTTTATAATAATCAGAGAATAAAGGCAGCAATGATAATGAAGAATCTAATTTAATTTGCAAGATATTACCCCCCCCCCGAAAAAAAAGTATAGGAACTGTTTGATTTTGCAGTGGAGATTGACCCAAATCAAGAAAGCAGAGGACAGTTTATGAGAGGCACTGAAATACTCTGCGCTTCTTACCGCGAAACTTGTAAAAAATGACATTAGTCATTGCCAAATAAAAATGACCAGTTTTCTAAAAACTAATTTAATCATATATATGTACGAATAAATGATAAAAATCCTTTCAATTAACATATGTTTCGTTTATTCCTTTTAATGACAATAGTATTCAGGTTTGTTTAAATTATACATACTTTCCTAATTTGAATTAAACCGAATGTTTTTCCCCCATAGAAAGTTAACTCAGTTCTGCTGTATGAGAAACGTAATAATGGCGTAACCCACGCGGTCGGGAAGATTTTATTGTCCTAAAAGCACTGATATATGTGTCTCAGAACGAAGTCGCTAAATACTTACTCAGCATATTTACTAGGTATTTTTTTAGCTATGCAATAGTTTGAAAAAATTAATGATTGCATTCAAGTATTTATTCCTGACTGCTTGAGATTACGATACCTGAAAAAAATATGATTTAGTAAGAATTTTCTGACTATTTTTCAATAACTGAGGCCTATCTTTGTTGCCATATTAAAATAAAACATTTTTGTAACAAACAGAAACTGTATATTTGCATTTAATAACTGCATACTCTGCAATGCGTTATGAATATAATCTGTATATTAGGGCACTGTGACACATTGATTGTGTGTATAAACATTGTGTTATGCGTTTGATTATTTGTTTCAGAGGTAAAGTAATACACTTACTCAAATTGCGTAAAGAAAAGATAAAAGAAAATAAATGAATTAGATGTTTGCCCTAGAAATCGACAAATCATCGTTAACTAACAAGCATCTTTTATACACCTCAGTTGTATTTACATATCATTTATCCACTGGATGAAATGAGTTAGTGAGCTTCTTAGTATTCTGCTACTTCTTAATGACAGTAACACTATAAATAAAATTCTTCAAATTCCTTCCCATAAAACATGAAGAAGCGAAATGGATTTTAGTGTTTTGTATATTGAAACTTTAATGCGTTGTTCTGCAAAGCAGAATAAACCTAACAAAGTCAAAAGTAAAGAACCGGTATGCTATTTCGAACTTTCCCTGCAGCATTCACTATGGGTTTAAAGGTTGAATTGGTATTATGTTGCACATAATTGTGTTATGCTCTTGCATATAAGTGTTTTAAATGTTAAACTTATTGATTACTTTTTGTGAAATGAACGATTTTGTTTTTTCATATTCAAAATGAACAGTTTTCTTAATATTAAGTAAGGAGCAGATTTTTCTTACAACTTGTGCTATTCTTTTCTGCGTGCACTAGAAATTAAGATTTTCAACGCCTTAGTAGCGTCTTAATGAACGCATGTCAACATCTTAAAACACAGAATGGTAAAAATTGGTGTAGCAGCCTAGGATATATTATTATAAAATTTTACTGCCTTCTAGTTTTCTCACAAAATTGATATAATATTTAATTTTCAGTTTAAAAATTTTATTTATCTAACATCTTAAATAAACGTCTTCCATTTTTTAGTATTTATCGTAGAATAGCCAATTATGCTAAGAAAATTCGCATTCATCTGTATTTGCGTTTTAAAGCAGATTGTAAAATAACAATACACCATCCATAACTGCGGTGTGTTAACAAAAATTTGTATTTAATTCATTAACATGTTACTAATAAATATATGTATTTAATTCATTAAAATATTTATAATAACAATATTTTTTAAAAGAAACTATATTTCATTAATTCTTAGCGAGTATTTTAGTTTAACATCAAATGCCATTTTAATAATGCCAATTTAACTCTAAGCTAACATTTGACTTGTTGTCAGGTTGAATTTAACCTAATGGCCTACTTTAGGCTGTACAATGTCAAGGTGAATTAGCGTCAGCGCAAAACTAAAACGATTACAAACAACAGAATATAGTATCAAAAAGTGTTAGTCGTTCGAGAATTGAATTAAGGTCGTTGCGCTGATTATAATTATTAATTAATGCTTAGAGATCGTAGGTTGTAGATGAAGGCAAATTTTAATTGCTTTAGGCTAAATTTATTAAAATGGACTGTAATAATTTTTTATGTTTTATATATAACAATAAACAAGTTATTCAGCGATAAGGTCCATCAGAGGCTTTTGGCATGCATTGTAAACATAAAGTTTCCAGACGAAATAAGGCATCCTCTCTTCACCAGATCTTAGACTCCACTCACCGATGTTTGAGTAAAGGGATATGGCGACATGAAATTTTTTACCGTTCAGAATTAGGCGGTAATAATGTCTTTGAACCACAGTTACTTAATTTTGAACTTTCTTCATTCTGGACACTTAATTTTGAACACAACAATATATAAGTATGCTTTTGAACCACAATTCTTTTTGACTTACTCAAAATAATGTACAATATAAGTAACAATGTCCAAAACAGTGGGTTTGAACCGTAAATTGTTTTTCTTAAAATAATGTGTAACACAAACAACAATATCTTAAAGTGGTTTTAGACCACAGCTTATTGTTTTACTTATACAGAAGATTTTGAACATTCGAGAGTTTGCGAATTAGTAGATTTGACCAAATGCTGATAAAATTTACAGGTCTAATTAATAAACCAATAAGAACATGGCAATACTATAATTCTTCAATTTTACCTTTCACATGAACCAGCAAAAGCATTCAGTTTTTCCTCAATGAGCAGCACAGCCACAATCACTAAAAAGTGGTAAGCACTTTAAGCAAAAACTTATCTCACTGTAGTCTGTTTCTTTAAAATAGGCACTTCAAGGCTGTTGCCATCTCTCCCATTTATTATCGTAATTCGTGTCTTCACAGCACAGCACTTATTTTCCTTCCCTCACCCTAGACTGCTGTTCGCGTCTTTCTTCATTCACACGCTTTTCTTGAAACGGAACAGACTAAACGGAAACGGAGTGGAGGAAAAAATGTTAGGTGACTCGAATCGTTTGCTTCAACTGTCGATCCTATGGTTACGAAGCAAGGAGGAGACGAAAAATGGTCTTGTATTTTCTATCTTAAGATAACATAACTTTGGTATATGTAAAAGAACATGATAGCAATCAAGGTTTGCATAGAATTGATGCAAATTCTGATACACTTCCAGTCAGGTTCGGAATTTATGTGCATTTCCTTCGCTGTCAGTTATAGCAAAAATCGCGACATTCATTTATTGAACGATAATGACCGTAGCTTCGGTATTATCTCTGTGTTTAGGAATTTCTATATGAAGAAATCGCCGTATTACTCGCGGAACTAATATTTGTATAAAATTTCTTAATTCGATTAATTATTATGAAGGGAGTCAAGGGGGGGAGAAAAAGAGAGCATAAAAATTCAAATATTAACTCTTAGGAAATTGATATAATTGTCCCAACGATGCATAATAAATATTTTATTGTTAATATGTATAATTATAATTTGACGGAAGATTTATACATGTCGACATATAGAACATGATGCTAGTATAACTTTACATAAAATTGATGCAAACCCTGATGCAGTCTTGCTTGGTTGAAAAATTATTTGCATTTCCTCTGCAACCGCCGTACTCTAAGCCGCGGCACTCATGTAGTGTTGAGTTGTAGTAAAACCTGTGTATAAGGCCCTCACATGTGCCTCTGTCGCCTTCTTTATTACAGTGCTCTGTTTTATTTATTGCATTTCCTAAATTTCAAATACAATTAAACAAATACTGCATTACTACACATATAATAACTATACATATATCTATTACTACACAAATAACTATACATATACCTATTATACACATATACCTATACATGCAATACACATTACAATTATCCTTCTCCATTCAATACCTTTATTGGAAAGTCCTGTCACGGTTGTGAAGCGTATACTTCAATTTGGCCGTTGCAACGCTTTAGCACTGTTTGTTCACGTGGCTCCCTGTTTCGCATTGTAGTTCAAACGAGGTTAAAGCATCTTTCGACATTCGAGGCGATGTCGCATTTTAAGCAAAGGGCGTTTGAGCAAACAAGCTCGGAAGTCTTTGATCAAAAACAGATCCCTGTCATGTCATAATTACTTTATTTCCATATTTTTCATTCTGTGTCGCTTGTATTTTCTCTTATGAACACATTTATATGGAGTCAATGTTTTTAGATAATTTAAGCTATTCAAAACGATAGGCGCTCATCTATGATTGATATCAACAGAGAAATTTTCCATTTCTTACAGGACTACTCAAAATGCTGGAGCAAGTGAATATGTTTTAAAAAATATTACTTCGAAGGTGACTAAGTAATGATTTTCAGCATTTCAAATAGAACTTCCGTTCAAATATTTCCCGTAACTCTTTGAACACAGAAGTACTTTTTTCTGTAATATAAAATCATCTTCAAATTCTTCATAGAAATATTCCCTTGAAATTTGTATAGCAGAATAGCTGAATTTTTTTTTTATATATAATAAATATACTATATGCAAAATTAATTATTTTCCCTTAAAAAATCAAAATGTTAAGGATTTATGTTTGTTTTCTACCTTTGCAAAACCGTTATAACTGTATGCTTCCTCGTTTTCAAAATATCATCACTGATAGAAAATAAGTACATTAGCATCGTACATAATAAGAAATAAATTATTTTTGTAGCAATACCATACCGTTGACGACTACCTTTGCAAACAACTTTTGCTTCTAAGATCATAAATGCTGTACCTATCAATATGCATAACTATCGACATTTATAATGCTATTTTCTAAGATATTTATTAGTACTGTTACAAAGTATTTCTCTAGCCTTCTTAGCATGCCTTCGTGGTGTAGTTGTCAGCACACTCGGTGTGTATTCGAGAGGTTCTGCTTCGAGTCCCGGCGAGGGCATTGTTCATTTTTCATCTCTCTTGCTTTCAAAAAGAAAAGGGAAAAACTAATGTCTCTGCATTGTAAGCATGTAGATTCTGCAGCAGAACATCGGATGATCTGAGGGAGTGGCATCATCAGTGACGTCGCAGAGGCAAAGTTATGGACCTTATTTCTTATAAGGTCTATGGGCAAAGTCCCCAGTGTCGTAACAACAGAAGGCGTGATCATCCATGACGTCACAAGTGGAGATGAGTTTTTTCAGACTGCTGTCTAAGATCACGTGTAGAATTTCAGCTGCTTTTACTTTCGGTTTCACATATCAGTTAAGGGTTTTCAAAACTGGCAACTGATATACTTCCAATAGGATTTTTACTGATAGCGCATCTCAGTTTGCGAGAAATGCTCATGGTATCATCTGTTGATGACAAAGAGAGTTATACATTTTGGACTTGAAATTTTTTAAGTGTATCGTTTAAATCATTCAGTGCTCATCTGTAGAAATTATACACGTTACAAGAAAGGAAATATAATAAAATATACTTAATAATTCTTCAGGTATAGATAAAAATTAACCTTTCTACAAAATAAATAATAAATTAATTAATAAAATTTACTACTCGATTGAATTTTAATTTGGCATTTTTATCCTTTCTAGTTTTCTATGAATTTTGAATTTTAACTTATTTCTTAAACTTTCTGTTCACAATAAGAACTAGCCCATAACAATGATAACAACTAGCCCATAATAGTTCATAATATTATCAGGACTTTTAAACTCTGTATAAGGTATTTCTCCCGTCTTCCTAGCGTGCCTTCGTGGTGTAGTGGTTCTGCACGCTGGGCCGGTATTTCAGAGGTCCGTGGTTAGATTCTCGGGGAAGGCGTTTGCTAATTTTTCATCTTGCCTTCTTCCAAAAAAATACCTAATGTCTCTACCCTTGTTTTACCTTAATCTAAACTTCTCCATCAGTAATTTAATTTAAATTCAAAATAAATCAGAATGTATCTTTTATTCGAACAAGATAATGACGAAAGTACTGAAGAAAACAAAGCAATCAAACAGAGAACTCTGCAGTACGTTCTCGAGATAATTATGGACACTGAGTCCGACATTTCAGATAATAATTTCGACTTGGCTATCGGAGACTATCATCTAAAATTTTCCTATTCCCTAGAATCAAGCCAGACAAATCCTCTTGCTACAGCTCTGAATTTGATTGAAGTTCCTTTAATTTACCAAGAGACTGTGGTATCCCACCAAAGCCTTTCATAGTTGCTGAAATAGTTTTATTCATCAAGCAGTGTAAACGTGCTAGAGACGTGTCTTTCATCCTTCAGCTCATGCTTCTTGGCTTAAGAAACTCTTGGCTCGTGTTTCTCGACTAAGAAAATATTGGGTTCTTAAATCAGACAGCCTAAACTCTCTCTTGTATGAAAATGAAATCACCCATTAACAACCAATAGGACTCCAAAGACCTGGCATTCTGTCGAACAGATGCCAAGCGAAATGTAAAAATAAATTTCTTAAAATTAAACTTATTCCTCTAGTGAACAATTGGGGCGTTTAACTTCATTGGTAGAAAAACATTTTGAGTTATTTATTTCTCCAGAGTTCATTACTACTTCGATAGAATGAGTAAAGAATAGCCCTAGAACCACAGATGCTATGATCCTTGGTAATCGTTATCATCGGTCACCATGGATGAATGAACACAAATGTTGCCTGCCCCCAGGAATGCTGCGAAGTAGCACCACCTGTTCATTTTGTAACGAGACAGACACGAAAGTTCCAGAACTGTTGAATACTTTCTTTCTCCTCAGCACTTTTGCGATTTTCTTCTAGTAGCCGACAGGTAACTGAAAAAAACTGCTAAATATAACTTTGCTCTTATTGATGTATAGACTTTCTTGCAAAAGTTCAAAAATCGTACAACAAAAAAAAACAAAGCTGAAAAATATTCTCAAAATGTTTTGCTCTTGGAGAGTCTCCTTCGCCGACATCATAGTATATGGACAAAAATCTCAGCAATCAACTGAAAACATCATATAAATAACCAAAGCCATATAAAAATAGAATCATGGAAGATGATGCAAATCAGCCACCAGAGGGGCGTACAGTTAAAATTATTGTTACAGATGAATCTGCAAATGAAAATGAGCTGGATGAAGAAGGAAAAGAAATTCAGGCAGAAAGTATAGTGAAAACAGATGAAAGTAAAAAAATGAATGAGCGTAAAAATGTTACGTATGAGTCTTTCTATCAGGAAGAGAAAAATCACATTGTTAAACACTGTTAATATACGAAAAGTCTTGAAATCCGTTAGAATTAGAGTTTGATATGGTTTCGCATGTAGATAATCCAGACAAAACTACTGATTCTTACGAAACGTGTTCAGAAAATTATTCACCCTTGAAAAGAAATTCTAATCACAGTTCTTCATAAGGCTGCATCGAGAGAATCTCAGCGCATGAAAATTGGCTTGTGGATTCGCCCTTCCATCAAAGATAATAATCGCCTGTGAAGTTATGCCTTTATTTGGCACCGTTGCTCAGAAGCAGCAAGTGTTTTCACCATTTCACCAAGGGGTTAAGCGCCCAGCTCACTCAATCTTGACCTGATGTCCTTGCGGCAACCAATCAACAAGAGGCTCGTTAATTGGTGTCACTCACTGTTCTGTGCTTTTGCTGCAGCTTGCTCATGGCGATTTTTTTTTGGCATTGAGCGAAAGTGTGACGTAAGCGTCGTAAACCGTAGCTCATTTAACCTTCACCCGACGTCCTTGCCGCAGCCCGTGAGAACCTTGTTAATAAGTGTCACTCGCTGTTCTTTGCTTTCGTGCTATACTCCGTATTTCGGTGTTTTTACTGCGGCTAGCTCGTAGCGACGCCTGTTGGCATTGAATAGAAGTGTGATCCAAATAATTCGTCCCACTGTCTTTGGGAAACAAGGTTTTACCACCACCAGAATCTGAGTCTACTTCGACAGAGTGAAATGCTTTATCACTAGAGGTGGGCAACACCACTCCTTTAATAGACCAGATCGAAACCGTTCGCTCACTAAAGTGAATCAGTTCTTTTTAACGTTTCATCGCGCACTAAAAATGACCTTGATGAATGCGTTCAGGATAGGCGAGGATCAAGAGCAGTCTGCAAAGATGGGGGAAAGCAGAAAGAACTGAACAGAGAATGGGATCGTTGGAATCAACTCAAGTAAACTGCTCACTGCCTAGACTGATTTCTTTCAACTGTACTTTTGAGATTTCCTAAGAAAACCTTTCTTTTCTTTTTTTTTTTTTTTTTTTTTCTTTTATTATTTTTCTAGAATAATAAAATTTGGAATTAAAAAAGAGCGGAGAGTTAAAATATAATGAAAACTAAACTCTTTTTTTTTTAAAGATTACATTATTTTATCACTATAATTGATATTTTTTTTTTTTTGCTACTACAAAACACAGAGTAAAAATAAATTTTTAGATTGGAGGCAGATCCCAAAGAACAGGAAATTGTCTGCTGACAATACCGGCATTTCTTTTTTTTTTTTTTATGTAATTCGACAAAATGATACCAAATAATCGCACACATTTTTCTCTGCAACCTTGAAAAAATGCATTAGATTGAAAATTATTTTTATAATAATACTAATTTTAAAGAAGATCAAAGAGAGATTCACAGCTCTTGATTACAAGACGTTAGTAAAAATAAATAAATAAATAAAAATAAAATTTATTATTTTACTTAGATATTGCATTAATATTGCATAAAAAGGTAATATACATAGTTATACTATGAAACAGTAGTCAAAGAATCGAAACGAAACTCAAAGGAACACTTTAAGGAAGCGAAAAGAGCAAATAATCATGACTCCGCAGGAGCCAGATTTGCGGCTGGAGCAGGAGTGATGAAAAGAGCGAATAATGAAGACTGTCGGAATCAGATCCGCAGCTAGAGCAGGAGCGATGAAAAGGGCGAATAATCACAACTCCGAAGGACACAGATCTGCGACTAGTGTCGGAGCGCTGACAGCTGGGAATCCGAGGAACTAGTTTCTTTGATCTACATACTTTAAACAGATCCTTGCACTACCAGACCAGAAAAAACTCCATCCATTTGCAAACAGGGGTGGTCAGTTTTACTGAGATGCGCCGGTTTATTTAATGTTTTGTTTTTTAAATACTAGATGAAACAACTAAGCCAAAAGCAAACTTATGTGCATGCATACACACATAAAAATAAGTTAGAGACGTTTCCGGTAAGCAATGAAGGAAAGCATGCTAGTGTTTACAGTAAGAGGAATCAAATTTTTTTGACACGCTTCCCAACAACAGCTCTCGGTGTACTGTTCATTTTCGGAGCGCTGATCATTCGTTCAGTAAATTGAATCGGTTGTTTGACTCGGTTCTGAAGCGTATCGTCCATCTCTGTTAACCACCATTACAAAAGTGCTCCTGTTGGGACGTCTTGAATCCCAGTTCTTTCAAATTTCAAGCGTTTGAGTGGCTCTGGCGGACGTTATGTAATTTTATACTAAAATATGAGAATAAGATATAAATCTTATCAAGGCTGACCTCACATTCTTACACATCCCTTGCTGAAGGTATAAACGTATATGCTTGCTAAGATAACGTAATAGGGCCAGGAAATGTTTTCGTTGTTAACAAAAGAAAAATACATTCTGCAACTCCCAGTGAAATTTCCAAACTCGTCAGCAATCGCAGGTCAAAAAGCCATAAGTTCCATGTAGAATACCAATAGCAACAGCCTTTATCCATATTACAAGACAGTATATTCAAATCTTAATTACTTGAATTTATGCAATAAACCAATTTCAAAAAATAATTAGCATATTAAAAAGGATATAAAACGTGGGCACGGTAGTAACTGTATTCAGGATTTTACGTCTGTGAGAAAACAGCAGGGCATAATATTCATTTCAGACTACACCTTTAGCCACTGTTTTACGCATATTGAAGATAATAAAGAACGAATTTTCTCCCTTCTTACCACGTGCTTTCGTTGTGTATTGGAAGTACGTGCCGCTGGCAATCGGAAGATTCGGAGCTCAAATCTCAGCTAAGATATAGCTGAAATTTGTCTTTCCTCCTCTTTCTGTCTTTTCTTTCTTTCCACTGACAGCGAGGCAGCCGATCCAATGTGGCAATTAACATATGAGCCAGATAGCCCCGCTGACAGAATTAACTTGGTCCTCATAGAACACTTTTGTACATATTGTGCTCAAGACGAGTGCTGGGGAAGGTGCAAACAAATGCTGGCTGAGTCGATAGTGCAGTGATGGAAGAAGGGTGCATTGCGGGTGAGGAGAACAAAACACCTAATGACTTTGCAAAATATACTAATAAATAAGAAAAAATCTCATATACCTTCACAAAATGTCTCGCATTCTTCTCGTGTATCAAATATGTTTCTGTTTCCTGCGCAACCATTATAGATGAATTCGTGACATTCTCCAGTAAAACGATTGTAATAAAACTTAATTGTCCGGTTACAGCAGTCTCCAAAATCTACACTCAGTAAACAGTTCCCATGTCGGTCACCTGTTGGCATTAACGTCAAATGTCAAAAATATTATCAATATAATTTCTGCATTTATTTAGAACAAAATGTGATTCACTTAAGAATGGTCTGTCACCAACATCAAATGTGCAAGCTAAAAATTTATTAACATAAAATTCAGATTTTATATAAATATAAGCGAGTACAAATGCACATATAGGAACGGTATAAAAGTGTTTCCTTTTAAGCAACTTCTTCCAAACGAAACCCATCAGTGGCTGAGGTGATAAGGAAATCTGAGCACTGATTTCACGAGGCTTTAAAACGCAGCATTTCAGGAGACAGACCTTTTAGCCTTTTCTAACAGCAGATGAAATGCGAATGTCTCGGGAAAATGTGCTAACGCGTTTAAATTAAAAATGAGCATCCAAAATTTACTTTTCTTGTCGTAAAAGATTTATTAGCATCTGTAATTCTAATGAGTCGACTTTTACGCGAGGCAGGCGCGAGCTAAAATTTTAAGAATTTTAATTTACAGGTACGAATGCTCGCTGTGCATAAAGAAGTTGGCTCAACACAGGAAATCCAATTACAGCACCTGCCCGAAGAGCAGAAGGGAAAGATTAAACTGTGGTAAGAAAGTTTTATAAATTATTTGATTCTAAGCCTGGCTTCTGCCAGCTCTTGAGACGGAAAAAGTCGCCTCTGAGAAAAATAAACCTTATAGTTACGATCAAGTTAAGTAAAAAATTATTGAACAGCACATAAAAGACATACTTGACTAAAAAATTATTATTCAGACAAGCAGTCCTTATGCAAGTCCGGTAGTCTTATGCCGAAAGAAACAACAACCTTTCAAGTTCAGATCCAAAATCATGGCGATTTGCCGTTGACTACCGAAAATTAAATAGTATAACAAATATCCAGTGTATCAACTGCCAATTATAGATGAAATTATTCGAAACATTAAATCTACAAATTACATAACCACACTTGATTTGACATCTGGCTATTTCCAGACTGCAGTAAGGCCCGAAGACGTTAAAAAAACAGCTTTTATTACGAAATCAAGCATGTATGCCTTTTTGAGAATGCCGTTTGGCTAATGCGGAACTAAGATAATGCTCCAGAGAATGATGAGCATAGTTTTAAGACACGTACTAAATAAAAGCACTTTTAGATATCTCGATAATATAATCATTACCATTTAGAAGTATTTTCTTTACTAAATGAAGCTAGCCTGAATGTAAATGTCTCAAAATGCAAATTTGCAGCTAAAGAGCTTAGTTATTTTGGATACAAAATTTCGAAAAATGGCACAGAGACAGAAGATTCTAAATTTATAGCAATCAAAAACTATCTGCCTCCCAACACAGAGAGAAGATTGTCATCATTTTTGAACATGTGCTCCTATTACCGTTCATTTATAAAAGACTTTGCAAATATAGTTGAACCTTTGCTGGTTCTAAAAAGAAAAAAAAAAGTTTCACGTGGACGTCAGAAGCAAATATGAGGTTTAAGCATCCGAAGCAGGCATTAAAACCTCCCGTGTTAAAATTCCCGAAAGGGGACAAAAATTTAGAAATTGCTGCAGATGCGTCAGACTATGCAAAATTGGTCTTTCGCGAAACGGGCAGCCAATTGCTTATTTTAGAAAAACGTTGAATCCAACTCAGCGAAGCTACACAGTAATTGAACGGGAAAATCTTGCCATACTTTTGGCTGCACAAAAATTCCCAGTGTACTTCGGGATTGCCCCAGTGGCAGTTTATTCGGACCATACTGTCATTGGTCGTTTGTATTCTAGTAAAAATTTTTCGCCGCGGCTTATAATATGGACTTTAAAGTTACAAGAATATAACCTTATTATTAAACACAGCTAGGGAAGGAGAATGTCGTAGCTGATGCACGTTCTAGGATCACAATAGTTGAAGAGAAGAACGCCGCCATGGAGTGTGCCATGTTAGCTTCAAAAATAATTGAGTCCCGAGACACTATTATTATAGAATTGAAAGCAGACCACGAATTCAAAAACAACTATGCATACCTTAAAGATCCCGAAAATTCTGAACGTGCTCTTAGTTCTATTAACGCAACTAAGAGTAGTGCATTATGAAATTGCTGATGAATTGTTATTTTATACGAAAGTGACTAACAAAAATCAGGAAATTCATCCGTTATCCCACCTAGTTTACTTTTTAGTATTTTAAACGAATTGCATGATTCGCCTATCAGACCACCTGAGAATCAGAAAAACAGTCCAAAGAGTACGCGAAGCGGTTTATATTCCGCAGTTACAGAAGTCGTTGCGGTGTATGTCAGGTCGAGCCATTTATGCCAAGTAATTAACGATATAATTTTCCAAGTAGCACACGACGTTGCAAACTGGTCCGAGAGGCTGCAAAGTGGTCGCAACTAAGAACATGTGGTAACTTTTACGACGTCTTTACAATGTTGCGAAGACGCAAAATATTTGCCGTTGCATCTTGGCAATGTGCCGACGTTGCTGAAACGTCATGATATGACCGCTTTTGGACGTGGTCGTTTAAGCATTTTTTTAGTTCATCAGCATTATTTTTAGAATGAAAAGAGACTAAATCTGCCCTTTCAAAAATCTGAAGTCCCATAAGATTTACTTTGCAATGTTTCATTACTTTATTTCATCTAAAATATATTATCTAAGGTGATTCATCTAATGAAATGTAATTGTAATAAAAAACTTTTTTTATTTATTCAATTTAATTAGTACTAAAAATACATGCTAAATAATTGTTTAAAATTATGTTAAATACTTAAAATATTTTTTTAAATATTATAGCAAAATATTTAAAAATGAAACTAATCTATAAAGTAAGTTATTAAGTTATGCGTTTTATGTACTTTAAAAAAATCATATTTCCGAAATGAATGCAAATCACATGTTAGCAATTATTTCACAAAGGAAATATGACTTTATTTCTTATTTTTGAACTAAGGACGAATTCGCGGCTGTCCAATATATATGGCGGAAGGAGAAGCAGACCTATACATTATGTACTGGATGCTTATATAAACGAACATCTCGAGATTTGCGCGCTTTGGCTAGCTGCCAAATTCGAACAACTGCGCAATTAAATCAAATTCTAGCAGTTCTTTCAAGTAATTTTTTAAAGATGGCATCTGTAAGGCGTTTGAAAAGACTTACTTCATGTTTGAAATTGAATCAAGAAATACTGATATAAAGATATTAAATGTAATGCTTATATTAAAAGTAAATGTAATGCACTGTCAATCAAAGAATGCATTGTGAATCTTCTCATTGTTCTGTATCTACTTGTTTCAACTGCCTTCAGCGAGTGAAATTATCGTGAGAATGCTGAATTAGTGCTTATTTTGTGTGTGAATGTCTGCTCTACAAGAAATGCCACAATGCTAATCGTGAATCTAGTGTTCGTGAAATAGTGTCTCTGTGGTCTATAGTGGTCTGTGGAATATCGTGTTCGTGAAATATTGTTTCAGTGATTCGTGAAGTAGTATCTCTGTGGCTCGTGAAGTAGTATCTCTGTGGCTCGTGAAATAGTGTCTCTGAGGAAATAGTGTCTGTCTCCAATCACTGTGGCTCCAGCGGTGCAATATTTGGATAAACTTTACTAGCTTGCTTTGTGCTTTGGTTATAACGTCTTGTTGGCTTTCAAAATTAATTCATATAAAACCAAAAATAACATACAACGGTAAGCCACTTGCAATCAATACAGAAGAAACAACAATTCAATCTGTTATGGCATGTTCATTATTTTCCAAATACAAAAAAAAAATATTTGACTGGTACCAGTATTTAATATGACTGCTGAAGATGGATTAGATATATGTATAATATAAGCAATTAATTAAATATTAAAATTAATAATAATGCACATTCTATAGTATATTGTTGTTTGTACAGTATGTAGAAAAGTTTAATGATTTTAAACAGTGTATGAAAGGTATGATCGAAAAACCAGTGTTAAGGAAACATTAGCATTTCTATTAAATATTGTAATCTATAATTATGTGATATTTAATTGTGTAATATTAAAAAACACTTAATTCCAAACACTGTGTAATTCGCGTTTTTTTTAAATATTGCCGTTATGTATGTTTATTAGATTATCGCAATAAATGAATGTTGGACTGTTTATTGATTCTCAGGTGGCCTGATAGGCGAATCATGCAATTCGTTTAAAATACTAAAACGTAAACTAGGTGGGATAACAGGTGAATTTCCTGATTTTCGTTTTTTTTTTTTTATAAAATCTAAGCATATTCCATTTTCTTCGCTTACTTTTTATGTGCTTGTAATAACAAAGAAATTCATAATAAATAGAAACAAAAAAGTTTCATCCTGTGCTCTTTAACGAAGAGCTTACTTTAACGTACTTAGCTTACTATCATATACTATATTATTTAAATTAGTTCTGTACAGTAACAAAAGGAAAATTATTCATTATAAAAAGTGCATGAAATAATCATTGTAATTCACCACTATTCTAAAATGTAAAAACTAAGCATAAGCAAATACATTAACATATGATCGAAAGAAATGGTGTTAAGAAACATCAGTATTACTAGTAAATACTGCAATCCATAATTATTGCTCTTTTAATTGCTTACTATTTAAAAAAAATATTTTTTTTATTAATTGGAAATTTTAGTTCTGTTACCTTCCTTCTGCTATTTATACTTTCAAACACTACTAGTTAATATTTTTTCTTAAATAGTGCTGTCATGTATGTTGTTTGTTAGGTTATTATTTCATTTTAGATTTGAATATGGGAAGTTATTAGATTTATATTTTTGAACACATTTATTAACTATTTTATATTGTCTTTCATTTGCATATCTTGGAGATATAGAAGTTAATGGTTATATTTTTTTACTGTTAAACGCGAATAAATTTATATATGAGTTCAGGTAAAATACTGATTATGTTACCTTAAGAGCCGCTTCCTAATTTATCATGATATGGGCAATTTTCAATGTCTCTGAGATTTAACAGAAATAAATGTGATAATGCTGTTATCAG